GCAGTCGACCTCAACTTCATCGTTGTTCTTGGCGTCCTCGTTGAACTCGTCATCGTAGGCGCACGTAGCGGGTGCAAGCACAGGCTCTGTGGCTGTAGTTATTGACGTGACGCCGGCGGCAACGGCTGTACCTTTCTTTCGCGGGGCTGCCGAGGCCTCGAGTCGACCTTCGAGTGCCGTGGGAAGCTTCGAAATCCAGGAAGGCGGTGGATGGCTTGTCGTGCGGCCGGCAGCATCGCGTAGCACGTGGACTCGACTTGGTACAGATGGGCGTGGGTCTGCGCTCGAGGCGGCACGATCAACTGGCGGGAGGGACCTCCTTTACACAACGTTGTACGCGCTCGTGGCCTGGTTGCGGACGTGGACGAAGCAAGCAGGTCCGCGCTTGCGAGCTTAAGCGCACAAAATCCTATAAGTGCTTCTCCCGGGCGCGTATGTCGAGTCTGGCCTTCTTGACAACAGCAGCAGTCACCTTCTTCTGCTCAACTTTCGCTTTCGCTACGCGTCGGAGTTCCGCTCTAGCTTGCTGTTCGTCATGGAGAGCCGATGTACGCACTGGTCGTAACCAATTAGCAGACTCGCTGTGCTCGTCTCTGACGCGGCACGGCAGGCGCTTTGTTCGTCTGGCAAGTCGTAGGAAGGGTGAAGCTGTGCAGCCCACAATAATCTGAAACGGGTGTCATTATACTTCCTATATCCGGCAACGTCAGGATATTCATTACGAAGAGGAAGCAGCCGCCAACAGCCCTACAGAGCCTGAACGACTGCGCCAAATGATGCATTACACGCCAATGCCTTGCGCACTGCATAAAGGCACTCGCTCTGCTTGTTGGGCCGCTGGCGGTCGTGTCGGCTTCGACTCCGGTCGGTCAGAGGCCGGTGCATCCGAGGAGGGTGTACCTAGATCTTTTTCATCTAAGCAATAGGGAATGCGAGCTATGCATACACATAAATGGCAATACAAAACAGCAATAGTATCTTTCGATGTACACGGTTTCAATGTACACGGCTGCCTGCAAACATGCAGTTATGCGCAAGTGTGGGAATTTTTCAGATGAGTCACCCATGGCCCTGGATAGTTAAAGTAATTTGCTTCGCCAGTCAGTCGGTCATTCATCCATTGCCCTGTTAAAGCATTGTTATTTGACCGTCTGACCAATCACAGCAATACATCTCTGTCAGTCGACCACTTTCTGATCTGAACTCGTATCCAGCATCATCTAGATATAGAGGACAAAAAATACCGTCGTCAAGAACAGCGCATTCGGCCCTGTCCAGTTACCAAGAACGGTACGAAACCGTCGTCCACAGCGTCCCACCAATGCGGCAGCCAGTGCACTCAGCTAACCAACGCTCAACGCAGTCCGTACTTCAATTGCCCCTCTGGAACTGTCACAGTGCAGCACGCTGTGGTGCTACCGGTGATGAGGCCGCCAAACCTACGAAAAGCTAGCTTGCTACACCCATCGGCGCCATACATATACGCACTACAAGCACATAATCGCTGCGCTCGTCCCTGCCGCTGCTCGGCACGTGCTTCGCGCAAAAAGTGGACTCACTCCGCTCGTCTTGTCGCTTCGCGGCATGTCGTGAGCAAGGTGACGCCTTGTAGCCCAGAAAAACCTGAATCGGGTGTCAATATTTTTGCATTCACTATACCGATTTGGAATAATATATCTGGCAATGTCCGGATATCCACCTGAGTAAGGAAACTGCCCCCGACAACCCTAAAAGCCCGCACGACTGCGCCGACTGGTGCGTTACGCAGACCAATGGATTGCGCACTGCGTGCGCTTACTTGCTTCGCTTGTGAGGCAGCTTCACAGCCGCGTCGGCTTCGCCTCCGGTCGGTCCGAGCTTGGTGATCTGAGGAGGGTGTACCTAGATCTTTCTTTTTACTTTAAGCAATAGAAGATTGAAGTGAGCACTGTGGCACATTGCTCAAGCTTGGTGAGACGTAGTAATAGAGTGCTTTTATATTACTTCTCAATTTTCGACGTCTGGAAGGAGAGCCGGCTCGTGAAATCTGACGTGTGTTGGCACATTAAAAGGCGGACGGTTTGCGCTCCTTTAGTCGTGAACATTGTGCAACAACTATTCTTGAACCCTTATACGTCATTATCTAACAACGATATGGAATATCCGGCTGTATCGGAGTGCCTTTGGAAGCAAGCGAGCGGTCGCTATGCAATCCATAAGTTCCACTGGCCTTTTATGGTCTCGGCTTACTACAAAGTGTCGTGTGCGCACAGAACAGTCAGATCCGCGAGTCACCTCATATTACAGAGTATGAAATCCATTCCGGAATAGTGCGGCTGGAACCCGATTTCTTTGAGCCGTATTTCATGATTTGAAGCCCTCGGACATGTCACATTAAAATCATAATCAAGAAATCTGAAAGCAACAGCAGCCCAATGTCTTGCAAAAAGTCTTTATGTATCTTTCGCATTTCTCTAACGCCTATGCATTCAACATAAAACCGTACACTTTGAATAGTGATTCGAAACAGATTTGTTGTTCATGTTGCTGCCTCCGCAAAGTAGGGTGTCAAGAATCGCCCTGCGTCAGATAAGTTCGAATCCGTAGTGTTCAGAAATGCCCGATGTATTCGGTGCGCGCTTTCGCTGAGGATCTATCATTCAAGATATCATACCTACTATAAAGCATTCCGAATTGTTTAGCGTCGTCCCTATTATCTGTAAATTTTCTTTGCAGTTTGCAGGGCGTATATCTATTGGTCTGCGTAACGCACCAGTCGGCGCAGTCGTGCGGGCTTTTAGGGTTGTCGGGGGCAGTTTCCTTACTCAGGTGGATATCCGGACATTGCCAGATATATTATTCCAAATCGGTATAGTGAATGCAAAAATA